CAGTCACATGCCTGTTGTAGACCACTGCCTCCACATGCGTGTCCATGCTTTTTGGAGAGGTGCCCATGTCACTCTCTAAAGGGGGGTGAAACTAAGACGCACAACAAAGTGCAACTTAGCAAGCGACTTGTGCAACCGATCCTGCTCTTGACGCAGCATCACCTTTCTCAAGCCAAAAAAACGCCCCCCCGTCCACATAATGCTTGGAAAGCTGCAGCAACTGGGCTGCTGATAGCTCGGATGAGACTGACACGCTACCATCTTCAAAGGCCAAATAAATTGCCAGCAGTCCAAGACGGCCTCAAACTCTTGCTTAGGCTTTGTCTACATCATTTTTTGCTTGAGTTTAGCCCTCGGAAAAGAGATCGAACCCCAGGACACGACCTCTCTCCACATGCTACTTCTAGCAAGAACCACAAGCAAGCAGCGTCTCACACTCAAGCAACTCACCTTGCCTGCTCTTCTTCAAACTCGTTGAGCAATGATCTCATGTCCTGCATAACGCATGCGAGCTTCAAACAAAACTGCAAACGACCTCAGAGCTATGTGAGGAGACCCTGGTAGCGGACGTCAAGCCCACGTGAGAGCATCAGCATCAGACAGTAGCACACTTTTCCATTCACACACAGCATGACTCGCAACACAAGCTGAATTGCGCGATGCCTGGCAACTTCGCTCCAAACGCTCGCAAGTGACCTGCAGAAAACGCACATGGGGCACAGCACCGAGCGGGTCAAATGTCAAATCCTTGGTCATCCTGAGTACAATCTTATAAAGCCATGCTTCAAATTCCTTACCTTTGACAGCTGCCCCTGTTGCCCCATACTAAAACGTAGACAGCAAGCAAGCCAGGTAGCCTTGAGATCCTCGAGCGGCATGGAGTTCAGGAGCCCGGCCTGCCCAACACATGGTTTGAAATTTTACTGCTTTTAAAGTGTCGAGATTCAGGCGTACAGGAACGATCATTTTGTTGTGGCTAGGTGCCAGAAGCAGCTCAGAAATCAATAGCCAAGGCCTCGTCCATGGCTTGTGGCATGGCGGAATCTCTCGGGGCACTTTGGCCTAAAGAAATATTCCTCGAAGTAGAGTGAACAAGGCTGCTTGGCGCCGTGCCAAACCGCGAACGTTGTCTCTACCCCGTGCTTGCATGACAGGACTTGAATGGGCAGTGACACGGAATCAGTTAAGTGGATATCTACCTTGCTGAGTGCAAAGTGCGTACACGCAAACCGGACCGAAACGCTGAGGGAGACTGCCCTAAGAGCCAAATAGCCCAAAATAGGTAGCATTTTTTGGGCACTACCCAAGCTATCGATAAAAATCTGCGCGGTCGCTGCTTTTTAACCACTAGAAATTTCTGAGCCACGATACAGCTGCGGAACACTCAGCAGCTGAGCCCCTTACCCTAGAAGGATGCAGAAAATTTAGGCTTTAGGGTTTAAGGGTTTAAGGGTTTTAGGGCTTAAGGGTTTAGGTAGGGTTTAAGGCTTCGGGAGGGTCCCGTGAGCACAAGGCCACACCTCGGTCTCGGGTTTAGGGTGAGGGTCAGAGTTTAGGGTTTCAAGCGTTGCTGTAGCTTTACAACGCAGGCATCTACCAAGGGCTTCAAGAAAATAGCTGCAGCTGCGGGGCGTTGATTTAGCAACCAAGCTCTAGGCGAACCGAAATGGCTACAAGAACTACCAATGATTGACGCAACTAGCTCGCATGTTCGCTCAGAATCTCAGGACCAGTTTTTCAAGCTGAGAGTGAAGCCTCTTGCACAGTATGTACGTATAAACCATACCCCGTTGGCAAAGGCCAGCACATGTTACTGAATCCTGAAAATGTAATCTGAATGCGGAAGCAAAGGCAACTAACCTATGTTTCAACTTATTGAAGACGACACTCAATGCACCAGCTGCAACTCTGGGCACTTTCCCTTTTCCTCAGCTCAAAAGGAGTTCGTGGAGCTTACCTTGCAAGTCTCCACATGTAGTGGATTGCGCCAGGCTCATGATCTGCTGTGCTGTTTCTTTATACGTTCTGGTGAGGCCACAGCGCTTCCTAGGAGGACGCTAATTTCCTCCTGCTCCTTGCCAACGCCGCCGACCGGCTGCCTTAGGTCGCCTATCCACATCTCTAAAGCAGCAGGCTGGATATGGGCAGAATGCCTGCTCACTACCGGCATACCCGCCTGCTGGCCTTCATCCCCATCAGCTTGCCAAAGGAGCTTAAGTTGTCCACGATTGACTGGCGATCCGGCACGAAGTGCGGCAAGAATAACAGACTTACCAGGTAAAAAAAAAAACACGTCTTCCGCTCTGGCGTTCTCAGTGGATGCTGAAAGAATCTAAGCTGTCCACAGCACAACTTCACCAAACAAACAATAGCTTCGCTGACTTCAGCGGATGCAAAAAACGTTCCATCAGGTCCTGCATGGATTCTGCGATCAACTCCTGCACCTATGGAAAGGCACCTTGCCCGTAGTTGCGGATGATGAGATGGACGTCTCTGCAGATCTCTGAATCTGCATCAGAACAGTGCTGCAGCAGATTGCATAAGACAGCAGTGTTGCAGTTGAACTTGCTGCCGGTGCCGCTGCAAGGGACATGAGCTCTTTTTTTTTGAGCCAAGAGGTGCCGAGGAACTGGTTTGCTCAGTCTCCCTTGTGGCCAGGAAGACGGTTACGAAACCAAGGGCGGAGGTGCTGCAAGATAGCTATATCCCCAATATAGCCCCTATATAACCCCAGTTTCGATTTCATTTTCCATTTTCTTTTCCNNTTTCCATTTGATTCTGCATTATTATGTCAGGTGCTTCCACTCACCTCTGTGCGGCACTGAGTCTAACATCGTAAAGTGATGCCTGCAAGAAGAGAAAAACTAGCCAATCTCCCGGACATGATCCTGCAGCTAACTACAAGGCAGACTTGCTGTTGAGTTCGACTTCCTTCACCGAACAAACTTATCAGAAAAAGCGTAAATGAGATTAAAGGAGGAGAGACAATGCACACACTGTGATTCCGTTGCTCTTTTCATCATGCTGGATCATCAACCGTATGTGTACCCTGGTTGTCCAATCTTACGGCAAAATTCGTCACCAGCCCAGATGATCTGTTTCCACTGGGTCCCAAAGCAAGTATATAGACAAGGGCCGCAGCCGCAGACTGAGGAAGAGGCTCTGCGTTTGAGGATGCCTTTTTTGTTCGGAAGCATGTAGTCCAAGACTTCTTCTGGGCCGTAGCTCATGGCCTGCGCCTTCACCTGAAGCGCAGGTTCCTCCATCTTGTCACCTCGGAACGAACTGTGCAAAAAAAAAAAAAAAGGTCTTTTCGTGCC